CTGCACCTAGGGATTGGGCCTGCCCTCTGCCACCCGGGAGCAGGCCTAAGCCAGCAGGTCATTATCTCCTGAGGGGTCTCAGACTGCGAGAGGGCACAGGCCGGGCTGGGGAACACCCCCCCGCCCCGAGTGCACAAATTTTTGTGCACCGGGCCTCTAGTATAATAATAGTAGAGCCAACTAAGATTTTAAAATGCATACGGGGAAAAGAAACTTTTTTCAAAGATAATTTTGTTTTAAAATTATTACACAGGAAATGCATGTTTTCTATCTATACTAATAAAAGTGTAATATGCTAATTAGACTGGATAGACCGGATGTCTTCCAGATGTCCTTCCGGACAAAGCTGCAGCGGCTTCGAGGGCCGAGGAGGGCTGGCTGAGGAGGGCCGGCAGCCGCAGTGGCTGGCAGTGGCAGCAGCAGCTGGGTGATGGGGGCGGCGCCTTCCCCTGATGGGCCCGGCCACCTCCCACAGAGGGAGGCCAGATGGGGAGCAGGCCTAAGCCACATCCCCTGAGGGCTCTCGGACTATGAGAGGGGGCAGGCCAGGCTGAGGGACCCCGCGCACCCCTCCCCTTCCCCCCTTGGGGGCCCCCCCCCCCCCCCCCCCCCCCCCGCACGAATTTTTGTGCACCGGGCCTCTAGTAAATTAATAACTACATCTATGTATATTTATTAACACACATCCTTTTAAAATACCAAATGGAATCAAACTATATAAGCACCTTGCTGTTTTACCTAACAGCATACATATAACATATATTCATATATCCATATGTGAGTGCACACAAAATTTTTCTCCTACTGATAGCAAAGTATTCTATATAATAAAAGTGTAATATGCTAAGTGTCGACTGATCAGTTGACTGTTTGGTTGACCGCTTGACCAGTCGCTATGATGCTCACTGACCACCAGGGGCAGACGCTCAGACTGGTAGGTTAGCTTGCGGCTGGGGTCCGGCCAATCAGGACTGAGCGAGAGGACTAGACGTGCCCTGGAGCCCTCCCGTGGTCCCTCCCTGGCCCCAATTGGCCCCGATCAGCCCCGATTGCCAGCCAGGCCAAGAGACCCCACCCATGCACGAATTTGTGCACCGGGCCTCTGGTTTCAGGTTTCATTATATGATGCAATGTAATTTGTTTATCTACTCCTCTATGGTGAACATTTGTACTGTTCT